TAAAAAGTTTGGGTCGGGTATTTTAACTTTTAAATTTTTATACCTGGTGAGGGATCCAGTGATTTTTGTTTCGGGGTTTCCCTTATGCTAATTTAAAAATGCTGTATCATGGTTTAAGGACCGATTTGGGTTTGGTAAATGAAGAAATTGGCCCTGTACAAAGGGCGTATATTGCTCTGTTGAAATTCTGTCCCCACCGCCCCAATAGTTTGTCCTTCCTTTGCCATTGTATAAATAGGTATCTTCTTTACCCCAAAATAATCAATGTAACTAAGTTTGGGGTTTAAATTTCTAAAAAAGATGAAAATTTTTATTTAATTTTTCAATCCTCTTGAATATGGGTAAGAGGGTACAGGAGGAAATTTATGGAAGTGAAATTGAATTGATGTTGGAAAAAAAAATTGTGAAAGGTTCCATAAAGAGAAAATTGGGGCTGTATTTAGAGAAAAATTGTAATTAGGTGCAGAGTAGGTTAAAAATGTGAATTTGGTGATTATGCAAACACCCTATCTTTCTGCCAAAAACTCGTCATCTAACAAATTTTAAATTTTGCTAAATGCCCATAAAAATGTAATTTGGTTTTTTTGGGGGACAAGATACCTTTAAAATTTTATTAGGGGAAAATTTCTGGATTCCCCCAGGCGGCAAAATGTAAAAAGGGGGATTAAATCTTGTGTAATATGTCGCCTGTGGATGCCAGATCCTTAGTACCCGTCCTCCACCCTTTTCAAATGAGCAATTGAGTCGTTTTTTGAAAAAACTCGGCCCGGGCCGGCAGTGGGAAAAAATGTATATATTTTCCCGGAAAATACGGTAATTTTTAGGTAAATAGATGGCCCATACTGTATTTAAAAAATATTTGTCATAGAAAACGGAAAACCTGCGTCTAGGAGGGGACTCGCCATCTTGGTTTTGAAATTTGTATTAGAAACGTTGGTGAATGGGGAAGAATTTTTCGTGCTTAGAGGTTAAAATTGTGCTGACACCCCTAATAGGAGGGGAAATTGGGGATATGTTCCCGCATAACTTGAGATATTTAGGCGACTGGACTAACCTCTCCCGGAACCTAGATAAGCTCTCTAGATTTGTGTGTAATTTGGCCAGTATTATTTTATAGATTTTGTTAGAGTGAGGTTTTTTGAGTATGATACACATTAATCTCCAGTCAAATTGGTGAGTGATATTAAGTATATTTTCCTTTGTTTTGTAATGTGTAATATTCCATTTATTTTTTTTAATATACATCCCCAAATTTTATATTTACCCGTATTCCTGGTGTATGTATATTTCGTTTAATTAATAGGTCCCAACAACTTTTGGATATGACATGGTAGGGATCGAAGGGGGGAATTTTTTTTCGACCAGGTGTCCAAATTCCTATTGTTAACTAATAAATAAAAATTATCTTTGTTCATTTACTTTTATGTAATAATGATACATTCGTTAATGCAATTTTTCCCCTAAAACCTACCCGATCTGCTGGCGCACTTAAATACCCGATTGTGGCAGCACTTAAACCATACCAGATCTGCTGGCAGCACTTAAAACTACCGATCTGCTGGAGCACTTAAAACACCAGATCTGCTGGCAGAAATTAACACTACCAGTCTGCTGGCAGCATTTAAAACTACCAGTTATTTGGCAGCACTTAAAAGCATGCGAAAACCATTTTAAAAACTTCGAAAAATACGAGAAAGTAATATCCTGAGACCCTTTCAAAAGGGTTTCCACACACAACTGTTGGAAAAACACGAATTTGAGGATAAAAATAAAAAAAGGTGGGAGTGTCAACCCAGGCATGACGCTCGTCTGGGAATGGTTGGGTGTGGTACGACGGCCCAGAGAGCAAAGGGGACCTACTTAAAGCATTTCTGTATTTGTCTTTGTTTTAAAAAAGAAAGAATTACACTACCGGGGCAAATTAGAAGAATGAAAGGCATTAAAAAAAATAAAAAAAAGATGTCATTTATTTTTACAAAACGGTAGGCTTGGAAAGACTAGTACTGTACCTAAATATTAGCAAATAATCTAAAGAAAATAAAAATAAATTATAAATTGCAATTGACTCAACATAATTTCTAGTCTTTTTAGAGCCGATAATAAACCCTTCAAATTTATCATACGTTCGTAATTGACCTAAACACCACATAAACTTTTAATATATAAATCAGATCAGACCCAGATTATACTAAGTGCAGTGTTTATATATAATATAGTACTAAAATATATATTATATATATAATATAATATCTATATATGCCATATATATATACTTTAATATATATTATATATATATATATATATATATATATATATATATATATATATATTATATATATATATATATATATATATATATATATATATATATATATATATATAATTATATATAGGATTGTTGAGGTGGTTCGGACTGTAGAGAGAATGGAGCGAAACAGAATGGACTTCAAGAGTGTATCAGTCTGTAGTGGAAGAAGGCGGTAGGGTCGGCTAGGAAAGGTGGAGGGAGGGTAGAGGGAGGTTTTGTGTGCTAGGGGCTTGGCTTCCAGCAGGCATGCATGAGCGTGTTTGATAGGAGTGAATGGAGACAAATGGTTTTTAATACTTGACGTGCTGTTGGAGTGTGAGCAAAGTAACATTTATGAAGGGGTTCAGGGAAACCGGCAGGCCGGACTTGAGTCCTGGAGATGGGAAATACAGTGCCTGCACTCTGAAGGAGGGGTGTTAATGTTGCAGTTTAAAAACTGTAGTGTAAAGCACCCTTCTGGCAAGACAGTGATGGAGTGAATGATGGTGAAAGTTTTTCTTTTTTCGGGCCACCCTGCCTTGGTGGGAATCGGCCAGTGTGATATAATAAATATATTAATATATAATATATATATAATAATATATATATATATATATTTAATATATATATATATATATATATATATATATATATATATATATATATATATATATATATATATATATATATATATATATATATATATATATATTAGCTAAACTTAAAATGTTTTGAGCTCTGGAATACATTATTTAATTTTTATTCGTGGGAAAGCACTAAACCTGTAGGGATCATATTGAGCCTTGGAATGGGAGGCATTCAGTTTCCATCCAAGAAAGGGGAGCTCAAGTCCCATTCTTGGAATGAATGGGCTCTTACAGCTAATGCAAATTGAAACTCACATAATTAATTTTGTCCGGAAACTATCAAGATTCTTCATACGAGGTGAAGTGAACCTAACACTCTCTTGAAATAAACGAATCATTGGCATACCAAATTTTTCTAAATGTCAAGAAATAAATGTCAAGAAATAAATGGTTAACGCTCTCACTTCACACGGCGAGGGCCTGGGTTCGATTCCCAGCCAGAGTAGAAACATTGGACGTGTTTCTTTCCACCTGTTGTCTATGTTCCCCATCAGTAAAATGGGTACCTGGGTGTTAGTCGACTGGTGTGGGTCGCATCCTGGGACACTGACCTAATTTGCCCGAGATGTTCAGCATAACAAGTGGCTTTCTATGTAGTAGTATGTCATTGTTGTCAGCTAGGACTGTATACCATGTACATGTACTTGTAGTAAATAAATTTTATTATTATTATTATTAATATATGGGGGATTTTCACGAGAACACAATCTGGAATTAACCTTCCACCTACACTCTGGGGGAATACAGAATACATCGAACACAAGTTGTAACTTACTGAAGTTAATGTATTTTGGAAGCTCATGTGACTTGAGGAACACTGGTGTCGCACATAATTTCCCTCCTTCACTGCCCACCGTCTGAAGCTCCCAGACTAGCTCCGGGACCCTGGATTACGAACATATGGCTCCTGTACATTTATTATGAAAATTTACGCCACTAAAAAAACTGACTATTTAGTGGACTGCATATTTATGAAGAATTATTGCAGTATTTTGTTTTGTCTACTAGGTTACAATTGTGAATCATATTATTTCATATTAGGAACATATATTATTACACTTACCAATCTATTATACTGGTGATATGTCCCAATACCTCACGCAAACAGAATGCATAGAAAATTCTTTCAGTCTTATCTGTTGTGTGGGGGTTAATGCACACTGGGAAGCTAACATTAATTATTGAAGTGCACATGGTATCCATTTTTGTTCCCGTCACGATTTTCTTCCATTCCATTCGAATTTTTCGATTTCTCTAGCTATCTGGACCTTTCTAGATGTATTTCCTTATCACTTACCTTGTAGTACAGAATTCGTCTATAATATTTCTATCGGCTACTATTAATTAGAGAAATATTGTCGAACTCGCCGGTCCGTCCTCATCTCTACCCTCGCTCTCCTGTTTTGAACATGTATTTATTAAAATTCGTTCGTTCATTTAATTTCCCGCGTTCCGGCTATTGCTATCAAAGATATAGATGAAGCTTACGCCTATACACAAATAACCCGCACATAAAAGAGAGAAGCTTACGACGACGTTTCGATCCGACTTCGACCATTGACAAAGTCACACTAACAGAGGTGGAGCAGGACGGTTATATATAGGCAGGAAGAGGTGGTAGTAGTAGTAGTAGTAGTAGTAGTACAAGAATTGTATATAATACCTTTTTGTCTCTCCTTTTTGTTCAACCACTTGTTATGTTCTTAGTAAACATTTTACCAAATTTCTTGCCAATATGTGAGCGATTTTCTTTTGTATTGGGATAACTATTTCTGCTGTGCATTGTTTTTCACTGTTTCTCACTGTTCACATTTTTCCCATCCAGATAAGAAAATTTAATGAAAATTGGATTAACCTTAACAGTCTTAATTTTAGTCACGGTAAATAAACATATTTGTAATGTAAAAAATGAGTGTTTGTAAACACGTAAACCCACTCCATAAAGCGTGGCTTATAATTGGGGAGGGGGAGGGGGTAAACAGTTGTTTCCACGTCATTTATAGATTTAAGAAAATGTCGTTATATACGCTATACATTAGGTTTAAACAGGTTACAGAAATGCGGTGATCTTTCCTAAAATTTATTATAAATCACATTAATCAAGGTAAATATGACAACGTTCCTGTAATTGTATTGTATTATAAAACGAAAACAATAAGAAAAGGAATTATCGGATTTCTCTGAGAATATTAATTTGTAAGAGGAACAGTTAATTTGATGGACGAACCTCAGAGTATAACTGCCACATATACTGGAAGTTTTATTTTGCAGTGATAAGACTGTTTAGATATTAAATAATAACTTAGAGTCTGAATGTTCGGAAGAATCCTTAACTAGGCTAGAAGAGAGAAAAAAAAAACACTAATATAACTTACGGTAATCCCAACCTTAACACTCAGCACGGGAATAACATGTCATAACAACGCCAGCGACTTTAATAATTATTTTAGCGCCTAGCTTTTGGGAAGGTTGACAGGTGGGCTGCTCTTCCAGCCCCTCCTACGTCTCCTTCGGTTTCGTCGCTCCTTCTGCCACAGCGGGCGAGTCTTCTGCTCCAGGGAGTGCATGGCGGCTGACAGGTAGTCTAAGTGCTGGTAATCGGCGTTCTGCTCGAAGTAGGAGATGACGATGGTGAGGGAGTAGCGTGCGTCACACAGACTCACAGGGCCGGGGTCCTCTACCTCCTCCAGGAAGCACTCGTTGCCCTCGTATGGGTTCCTGTAATGCCGACGGAAGAAATGGGTGAAGGGCCTAAGTTTCTCTGTAGGTCATCTTGAATTGATGTAAAGTTGATTTTGTAAAGGCAAGGACATAAACAAGGTACATAATTATTCTAAAGTATATATTTTTGATGTGAAGCATTCAACTCGAGTGGGTGATTTAAAGCAAGAGTGGTGGAGGCTTGATCCTCCGTTCGTTAATTTGAGGCTGTTGGCATTGGGGATGTAAACAGAGAGGGAGATATCTATTTAGGGGTATAAAAAGGACAATGGACAGACTGACTTGGAAGGGACCAGACCGAGGGAGCACATATGTGAAGAAGGAATGGTAGAGGTTAGATCCTCCATTTCTAATCCTGCCATAGACGCGCTACTCTTGTTGTCAGGCTTCCCAGTGTAAGTTGAACACACACTTGACTCAGTGTGACACATTGCCACTGAGTCTTTTAAGTTCTGTGGAAAATACTGTATATATTTTCCAGAAATACAGTAGTTATTAAATGTAAATAGATGGCCATACTGTATTTAAAATTTACGTAATCGAAAACGGGAATCTGCGCCTGCGCAGAAGGACACTCGCCATCTTGGTTTTGAATTTTGTACAAACGTTGGTATAATGGGAAGAATATTTCGTGCTCTAGAGGTTAAAATTGTGTTGACACCTCTCAAATAGGAGGCGAAATTGGTGGATGTGCATTCCTGCATAACTTGAGATATCAGACGACTGGACAAGACAGCTCCAGGAACCTCAGATAAACTCTCTAGATTTGTGTGTAATTCTGGCCAGCATTATTTTCATAGATTCAGTTAGAGTGAGGTTTTCTGAGTATGATACACATTAATCTCCAGTCAAATTGGTGAGTGATATTAAGATATATTTTCCTTCTGTTATGTAATTGTGTATATGTATATAACCATTTATTATTTTTAATACACAGTCCACAAATTTATATATTTACCAACATTCCTGGTGTATGTATATTTCATTTAATAATAGGTCCAGAGCAACTTGTGGATATGACAGTGGTAGGTATCGAAGGGGGACATTTTTTGTGACCTAGGTGTCTCAAATTCCTACTTGTCGATGTAACTCTGATAAATAATAATTATCTTTGTTATCATTTACTGTTATGTATATAATGATACATCCAAGTAAATGCAATTTTCCACAAGTTCTTTACTACAGGATGCATCTCTGAACAGCCGACTAACGCCTGTGTGCCTAAGGCTGGAAGAACAGAGACAGCTGGGGTAGAGAGACTTGACTATTTTGAAGGACCCTAATCTCGACCCTCTCCTCCATTCCCATAGACAAATCAGTGAGTACACTGCACACTGTACATGCGGAAGCCTGCAAAACGCACACAAATATAATGTACTTTAAGTCTCTTTAATACACTCTATTTTTCTCAGAGCCTTGCTAGTTAGAGTTTTAGTGAAAAAAAAATTTTAAAAAGAGGGGACTGAAGCGATGAAGCCCGATGTCTGTAAACTACGTTACCACACAATGCCCCTTTTGTATAAGGACCACACAGTTTATAATTATTCAGGGTGTAATCCGACTTTCTTATATGCACTGTAATTACCGTTGTATAATATAGGAACTATGTAAATTAAGAACTGAGATGAAGTACTTACTAACTCTTATAAGAAATTATCAGAAATTAAACTATTATATTTAAGTTTACCATAAAAAATATTTACAATTTTCTACATAAAATAGTTGACTTAGTTTTCTACGAAGAAAGTAATTTTCAGGGGATAACTCGTTTTTTTAATCTTCAAGCACTAATATAATAATAATAATAATAATAATAATAATAATAATAATAATAATAATAATAATAATAATAATAATAATAATAATAATAATAATAATAATAATAATATCTATTTCTACAAGTACATAAACAAGGTACACAGGCCTAGCTGGCATCAATGACATGCTACTACGCAGAAAGCCACTTGTTATGCTGAGCATTTCGGGCAAATTAGATCAGTTTTGTCCCGGGATGCGACCCAAACCAGTCGACTAACTCCAGGTTCCCATTTTACTGATGGGTCTCATAGACAACAGGTGTAAAGAAACAGGTCCAGTGTTTCTACCCTCGCTGGAAATCGAACCCAGACTTCGCCGTGTGAAGTCAGAGCTTTAGCCACCAGGCCACACCAGTTCAAACTAGGATTCGAATCTGTGCAATCTGCATCAAAGTACCCAGTCTGGCTAAAGTACTGTGCACTTTGATGCCGAGTGTCCAGGTTCGAATCCTGCTGTGGACTGAGAGATAATGTTTGTAAATAATTTTGCGAATTGTTAAGAATGTTTTAGTATATACTGTGTAAGTAATTAAGTAAGATTTAGGCACAGGTCCAGGTAAACTCCAGGTGCACATAAGTACAATTATCACACATAGTGTAAACTACGTAGGATAGCCCAAAAAATAACAGGTAAAAAGCAGAGCTGTATTGAAATTAACTTAGCAATAATAATAAATTCAGTCATATTCCCTTATGACAACAATAACTTTACAATATTTATATACGTATTTAAAGTTATTGTTGTCATAGCTGAATATGACTGAATTTATTATTATTGCCACGTTAATTTCGTTTAGGTTACAATATGAATGTTTGTGGGATTTTGCTAATGCTATGATATTCATGCGTCTGGCTCTTTTCTGCAATTTTGCAAGCTCCTGATGTGTTGATTGCAACACGAAAGGCCTAGAGCTATCATTCTACTCTCCCCGTGGTTGTTTAGCATCTTGTATCGCTTGGTTTGCGATATTTGCTTTATTATATATATATAAATAATATATATATATATATATATATAATATATATATATATATGGAGACAAATGGTTTTTAATACTTGACGTGCTGTTGGAGTGTGAGCAAAGTAAATTTATGAAGGGATTTCAGGGAAAACCGGCAGGCCCGGACTTGATGTTCTGGGAGAATGGGAAGTTCAGTGCCTGCACTTGAAGGAGGGGTGTTAATGTTGCAGTTTTGAAAACTGTAGTGTAAAGCACCCCTTATGGCAAGACAGTGATGGAGGAATGATGGTGAAAAGTTTTTCTTTTTCCGGGCCACCCTGCCTGGTGGGAATCGGGCCGGTTTGATAATAAAAAAAAAAAAATATTAAAATAAAATATATATTTATATATATATATATATATATATATATATATTTATATATATATTTATATAATATATTAATATATATAAACACTGATCACCTGGCGAAGGAGACTCGAACCTACGCAGAACCTTAGGACAAAAGGTACGCAGTGCTTTACCAATCTACCCACACCGGACACAATCCTTGGCGTGTAGCATGAGCTACCGAATTTCTGGCATTGTTCAATTCTTAGTAAGGCTGATGGCATGTGCAGGGGAGAGATGAAAAGCTGTAAAGCCTTCTCCCTTGAAAGCTGCGAACCCTGCCTTGGATCAAACGTGTAGGTCATTGCTACACGCCAAGGTATTGGTCCAGTGTGGGGTAGAATTGGTAAGCACTGCGTACCTTGTCCTAAGCGTTCGTAGGTTCGTGGTCTCCTTCAGCAGAGATCAGTGTTTGTGTATATTTCGATGCTCTCGGCGATTTCCTTGCATATATATATATATATATATAATATTTATATATATTATATATATATATATATATATATATATATTATATATTATTTATATATATATATATGTCGTTGAGATATGTAAAACTGGTCATATTAGCAAGAAAACTCATTTAAATTAAGTCCTTTCTAAAATTTTTCTCTTATAAGTTTAAAGATATATTTTTTTCATTAATGTTAATGTAAAAAATTATAATTTTGCACCAAAGATCTTAGAAAATTACACTAACCTTATTATAACAAGAAAACAATTTATTTTTAGCAAAACCCAACTTAATATATTTTAGTTTCGTTTACAATATTTACACCTAAACAAACACAGTGAAATATATTTTTTTCGTTAGGTTCAGAATGGATTTTGGTTGAAATTATTGCATACACAAATTTCACTTGTCTATATGGCAAGATGAGCGATGCTATTTAAGCCAAGATCGCAAATGTCTGCCTATCGGCACGACACAGACACACACACACACAACACACACACACACACACACACTCACACACACACACACACAAAACACACACACTCAACATATATAATATATGTATATATATATATATATATATATTCACTACACATTCGGGATTGGCTGTTGCTCTTCGCCTAGCCGTCCCCATCTTCACGGACATAAGTGTATTTGAGGCGGGCGACAGCTGATCAATTCGGACTTCATGGTATCGTGTGTCACACAGGCAGAAGGGAAGTATGCCAGACATGAGAGGTCAATTTCCAAAAGAGAAGCATCGCCCAAGCCCGTTGCACAGCTCAACGGGAACCCCAAGTGCAGAAGTCTGACGGAAGTCAAAGCGTCCTGATGGAGCACTATGCTACCTTGGAAGGATGGAAAGCAGATTGCCTGGGGACTACACTGTGCCACACATTGGCAGACACCTGCACCTAGTCATGGAAGTGACTCGTAGTGGAAGGGTGTGGAGCTGCCAGCCACAGGGAGACCCAGAAGATCCGCAAATTATGGGTAGACCTTCCCCCTTGCTATAACTTCATTACCCAATAAGGTCGGAGACCTTGGAGGCATGGGGGCAAGTGTGCTATGAAGTTCCTCAAAGAGCTGGGTGACAAAGATCATCATGAAAACCAAGGACCCACAGGGCACACGGGCGACTAGCTTCCTCTTCAGAGACCAGTGTTGCGATCCAGAGAGGAAATGCCTGAGGCATTTGGGGCACGCAGCACCGCCGGGGGAGATGGACCGGAAGTATTCGAGATGTTGCTCTGAGTTACCTTATGTGTTTACTTTCTATTGTATCTTTGTGAATGTTTTGGCAAATATATTTTGTCTTTAAACAAATATATATTAAATAGTAGGGGGGGATGGTAGGAGAAAATTCTCAAAACAGCTTCAGGGAGACTTTGAGTTTTTCCTGAAGCAAGTTTATTTTTCTCGTGAGCGCATCACGAGGGTCCCTAGGACAGTTTCAGAGGTCGTGTAACCTCCCTTATATATATATATTATATTTATATATATTATATATATAAATATATTTATTATAGTATATATGATTACCACCACGTAACAACATGTACCTTATATGCCACCTTTATATCAACCCCAAAAAATAAATGTATCTCTTAATCTCTGTACCATATATGTAATAAAATATTATATATATATTGTATATTTATATATATATATATATATTAATAATATATATATATATATATATATATAATATATATATATGTCGTGCGAATAGGCAGAACTTGCCATCTTGGCTTAAAAACGAACGTTGAACTTGCCATATAGGACAAACGAAAATTGTGTATGTAATAATTTCGCCAAAATCATTCTGAACCTAACGAAAAAAATATATTTCACTGTGTTTGTTTAGTATTAAATTATTGTAAACAAATCTAAAATATATATAGCTGGGTTAAGCTAAAATAAATTGTTCTTGTTATAATAAGGTTAGGTAAGTTTTCTAAGATTCTTTTGGTGCAAAATGAAAAATTTTTACATTAACATTAATGAAAAAATATATCTTTAAACGTATAAGAGAAAATTTTCGAAAGGACTTAATTTTAAATGAGTTCTTGCTAATTGACCAGTTTTACATATTCGGCACGACATATATATATATATATATATATATATATATATAATATATATATATAACAACATACACCCAATAAACTTTACGCACTGGTGTTGAGACAGAATATTGATTTAAATGTAAGGAACTTCAGGGTAAATATTAGTAATATATTAGAGTACATGCGGAGATTACTTTAAGGAGAGAGGTGGTCACGTGTGTGTGGACTGACGGTCACACCCGCTGACACACACATCAGAACTAGTGCGACTGGTTCATCTTGTTCAGCTTTAAAACAAGGAAAGACACAGATGCAAGAAAGTAGCAAGCGAACAAATGTTTAAGAGGCTCTAAGGACGACCAGGATCACTAAGTGACTCTCAGGCTATTTATACCGAGATAATGAAATATTCCAGCTGCTTGTATTCCGTCAAGGGATTTTTTTTAAACCAGCTGCATACTTCTAATTTTATGTCTCCGCCATCTGTCATTTTCAGCAAGCAGTTCTTGTAAAATAGTTTCTAGCACTGACGTGTTGCTGGCATGAGAGATGGCTGACGAGTCCTCTTGGTTTCTGCTTCCTCTTTGCCTCTTTTGCTTCTTCCCATCTTTCCTCTTGGTTTTCTTCGTCTTTTTGCTCTTGTCCCTGCGTTCCTTCTTGCCTCGTCCTCCTTGTTGTGTTTGTCGTTCCTCCGACTCTCTCACACGATTCTGGGAATCCTCGGTAATCACTGGAAGACTATGAGCATTTCTAGCATCTGTAGTCAAGTAATGTCTTCTGCTACCTACTCGGAGACCTGGCTCGGTAGGTTCCCTTACATGCAGACCAGGCTCAGTAGGTTCCCTCACACGAAGACCAGGCTCGGTAGATTCCCTCACACGAAGACCAGGTTCGGTAGGTTCCCTTACGCGAAGACCAGGCTCAGTAGGTTCCCTCAAGCGAAGACCAGGCTCGGTAGGTTCCCTCACACGAAGACCAGGCTCAGTAGGTTCTCTCACGCGAAGACCAGGCTCGGTAGGTTCCCTCACACGAAGACCAGGCTCGGTAGGTTCCCTCACACGAAGACCAGGCTCGGTAGGTTCCCTCACACGTAGACCAGGCTCGGTAGGTTCCGTCATGCGAAGTCCAGGCTCAGTAGGTTCCCTCACACGGAGGCCGGGCTCAGTAGGCTCCGTAACAATAAATACAGGTTCAGTAGGTTCTGGCAAACCTGAGCTAGGTTCAGTTGGTTCCGCCACATTCACGTTAGGTTCGGTGAACTCTGGCGAAGAGCGACTGTGATCCTCTGGAGACCTCGTCAAGCTGGCGTCATGAGCCGTGTGCATCGTTGTGGGACCCTCTCCTGCGCTACCTCCAAGAATTCGATGACCTGCTGCGGCTTCTGAGTCTCCGTCAGAGCCCTCCACCATAGTCACTTGCCTTTCAGAGGGCATCAACCACTCTAGTGAGGGAAGAGGTATAGAGAATCTTGCCAGGTTGGACACAGGGCTGTCGGGAGACAGAGAAGCTAATGTGGTCACTTGCATCAGTATTTCCCAAACTATTATTCCTAACATATATGAAATATTCCATTGAAACAAAATGTCTATGGAGTGACTTTAAATTTCAGCCCATCAGTCTGTGTAGCTATTTCCCAGAAGCTGTATAGCCTCCAAGGGGCTATACAGCTTCTGGGAAATGGAAATTAATCAGTTTTTTTTTAAGCAAAAAAGGGGTGTGTAGAAAAAATCCCAAATTAAATCCCTTGAAAAGATTAATTTAGGTCGCCCTTACCCTTGAAGATAGAAATCAAACCTATTTTCTAGGAATGTTTGCATGAACTAGATAATAAAAGAAAAGGGGAAGAAATTTCATTAAATAACAAAAAAGGCACAATACCGTGACTGGAACGATACACAAATAACCCGCACATAAAAGAGAGAAGCTTACGACGACGTTTCGGTCCGACTTCGGTGTGACTTTGTCCATGGTCCAAGTCGGACTGAAACGTCGTCGTAAGCTTCTCTCTTTTATGTGCGGGTTATTTGTGTAAATTTCATTACTTAATGAAAATTCTATTGAGAGAGCTACAGTTACAGAAGAATGTATTGCAACTCAGAATGGATAAGGCAATTCACCTTGTGTTTCCATGGTCATCTACGGCTCTGAGAGCCACGTAGTAGACGTTGCCCTTCTGCAGCTCCACTTGCAGTGGGATACCCACCCTCACCTCCGTCCCTGCAACCTGGTACACGTCTGCCGCTCTCAAGTACTCTGACGTACTCAACAGCGTCCTCTCAGGCGCTTGGTCAAACTGTGACTCTTGAAGATCATTCCTGTCGTCACTCAGGCGGATGACATAGTCAGAAGCTGAGCCACATCATGGAACGATACAGTAAAGTAAGAAAATATCAGAGATCAGTCAATTTGACTCTTGGATTTATCGTAACGTCTCTTGATGCAACAACAGATTGCTATTATAATTATTGGGGAGAGCTAAACCCTTAGGATTATACAGCTCATGTGGGGGGGGGAGGCATTCAGGCTGAATTCAGGGAAGTGGAGCACAGATCCAATTCCCTAGATCAAGAGCCCCTCACCAGCATCAAGGAACCTCCCTTGAGGGGTGCATCAACAGAGTGAAAGAAAAAGTGTTGAATTTGATGAATGAACGTCTTGATGGTAACAACAGTCATCCACAGTAAATGGTCGAAAATAGATTCATTAAAGTAGCATTTAATGCATCACCACAGGGAAAAAGTTATTAAACTCGATTAATGTATATGTTAGTGGGGATTTTCTCACCTGTGCCGTAGTCAAGGTCGTCCCCTGGGGTGGTCCAGGTGAGAGAGATGGTGAAGGGGTTGAGAGGCTCGACTCGTAGATCCCTTACGTGCACTGGTGGGTAGTGGTCAGTGTCCACAGCTGGTATCTCCACCACCTGCATCATACACACACACACACACACACACACACACACACACACACACACACACACACACACACACACACACACACACACACATACAAACGTACACAGACAAACGCACGCGCACCAGAAAAAAAATAGATCAGATTACCAAGAAATCGAAAATAAAATATTTTACCAAACCATCTTCTCTCTCAAAAGAAAAAATACAAGGATTAAGGTTCTCTCACAGAGAATTTTGTTCCCCCAAAAAATTTTTTTGGGGTTTTTTTGGGGCCCCCGGAAAAAAAAAAACCCCTTTTTTCCCCCCCCTTTCCCCCCCCCTTAAAAAGGGGGTTTTTTTTTCAAAAAAAAAAGGGGTTTTTAAAGGGTTTAAACTAAAAAATTTTTTCACCCCAAATCCCCCAAAAAAACCCCCAAAAAAAAATTTTAAAAAAAAAAAACCCAAAAAAATTTTTTCCCCCCTTTTTTTGGCAAAAAATTTTTTAAAAAAGGTTAAAAAAAAAAAACCCTTTTAAAAGGGGGGGGGGGAAAAAGGGGGGGTTTTCCAAAGGGGGGGAAAAAAAAAAATTAACCCAAAAAACCCCGGGTTTTTTGGGCCCCAAAAGGTAAAAAAAAAAGGGGGGGGAAAAAAGGGCCCCCGGGGGGTTTTTTTTTCCCCAAATTGAAACCCAAAAAAAAATTTTTTAAAAAAAATTTTGGGGGGCCCCCGGGGAGTCGGGCCCCCCCCGGGGGGGAATTAAAGGGGGGGCCCCAATTTGTTTTTTTGGCAGGGGGGAAAGGGGCCCCCACCCCCCCCCTTTTTAAAAAAAAAAACCCCCCCCCCCCCCCAAAAAAAAACCCCCCCCCCCCCCAAAAAAAAAAATTTTTCCACCCCGGGGGCCCCAAAAAATTGGCCCCCCAAACCCAAAAAAACCCCCCCCCCAAAAAAAAAAGGGGAAAAAACCCACAAAAGGGAAAAGGGCCCAAAAAAAAACCCCCCCTTTTTTTTCCCTTCCCCCCCCCCCTTTTTTTTAAAAAATTTTTTTTTTGGGGGGTTTTTTTTTTTTTAAATTTTTAAATTTTTTTTCCCAAAAAAAGGGGGGTTTTTTTTTTTTTTGGGGAAAAAAAAATTTTTTCCGCCCCCCCCCCCCCCCCCCCCCCCCCCCGGGGGAAAATTTTTTTTTTTTCCCGGTTTAATAAGTTTTTTTTAAAAAATTTTTCCCGGGAAATTTTTCCCCCTTTTTTTTCCCCCCAAAAATTTTTTTTTTAAACCCCTTTTTCCCGGTAAAATTTTTTTTTGGGGTTTAAAAAGTTTTTTTTAAAAAACCGGGGGCCCCCTTTTAAAAAACCCAGCCCCCCCCCAAAATTTCCCCCCCGGGGAAAGGGGGGGAAAAAAAATTGGTTTTTTTTAAAAAAAAAAAAATTTTTTTTTTAAAAAAAAAATTTCCCAAACCCGGGAAAAAACCCCCCCGGGGCCCCCCCTTTTTCCCTTTTTTGAAAAAATTTTCCCCCTTTTTTAAAGGAAAAAAGGCCCCTTTTTTTTTGGGGGAAAAAATTAAAGGGCCCCCCCTTTTAAAAATTTTTATTTTTTAAAAAAAAAGGGGAAACCTTTTCCCCCCCAAAAAACCTTTTTTTCCCCCCCCCTTTTTAAAAATTTTTGGCAAAAAATTTAAGGGGGCCCCCCCCTTTACCCCCCCCGGGGTTTTCCCGGGGGAAATTGGAAAAAAAGGGGGCCCCCTTTTTTCCCCAAACCCCCCCCCCGGGGCCCCCCCCAAAACCAAAAGGAAAAAAAACCCCAAAAAAAAAACCCCTTTAAATTTTAAAAAAAAAAATTTTTTTCCCCCCGGGGAAAAACCGGGGTTTTGGGGGGGTTTTTTGGGGGGGGAAATTTTAAAAGGGTTTTGGGGGGGCCCGGGGGGAAAGGGCCCCGCCGGGAAAAACCCCCCAAAAAGGGGGGCCCCCCTTGATCAGGGGCCCCCCCCGGGCCCCTTTTACCCCCCCCCGGGGGGGGGGCCCCCCTTGGAAAACCCCCATTTCCCCCCGGGGAAAAACCCCCGGGGGGCCCCAAAAATTTTTGGGTTTGGCCCCGCCTAATTTTAAAAAAGGGGGCCCCCCCGGGGGCCCGGGGGATAAATTTTCCCCAAACCGGGTTGGCCCCCCCTTTTGGAAAATTCGGGGGGCCCCCAACCCCCCCAACCGGGTTGGCCGGGGCCAAAAACCCAAAAACCCCCCGGGGGGGGGCCCTTTCCCCCCCCCGGGGGTCCCCCCCCCCCGGGGGCCCGGCCATTTTAATTTTCCACCAAAAAAAACCCCCCCCTTTAACCCCCAAAAAAGGGGGGGGCCCCCCCTTTGGTCTTTTCCCCAAAGGGGTTGGGGGGGGGGGGGGTTTTTCCCCGGGGGGGGGAAAAGGAAATTTTCCGGGGGCCCCCCCCAAAAAGGGCCCAACCTTTTGGGGGGGCCCCCCTTGGGCCCAAAATTTGGGGGGGGGCCCCCCTTGGGGGGGGGGGCCCCCCCCCCCCTTTTGGGGGGGGGCCCCCGGGGGGGGTTTAAATTTTTCAACCCCCCCGGGGGCCCCCCCCCCCCAAAAATCCCCCCTTTTTTGAACCAGGGGGAAAAAATTTTAAACCATTCCCCCAAAAGGGGGGGAAAAAAAAAAAACCCCCCCCAAAGGGGAACCTTTTTGGGGAAAAGGGGTTGGCCCCCAACCCCCAAAACCCCCCCCCCCTTTTCCCTTGGGGGAATTTTTTTAAAGGGGTTTCCCGTTTTTTCCCCCAAACCCTTAAGGGGGGTTTTTTTTCCCCCGGGAAAAACCCCCCCCCCGGGGGGGGAAAATGGGGGCCCCGGGCATTTTTTGGGGGGGGAAAAAGGGCCCCCCCCCCCGGGGGGGGGCCGGGTTTTTTTGGGGGCCAAAAGGGCCCCCCCCGGGGGCCCGGGGGGCCCCCTTTTTTGGGGCCAAAATTTTTCCCCCCGGTTTTTTCCCCCCGGGGGTTGGGTTCCCCCCCCCCCCCTTTTGGGGGGGCCCCCCCCTTTTTCCCCCCCCAAAAAAGGTTGGGGGGGGGCCCCCCTTGGGAAAGGGGGGGGCCCCGGGCCCCCCGGGGGGAAAAGGGGACCCCCTTTCGGGGGCCCCCCCCCTTTTTTTGGGGGGGGTTTTCCCCCCCCAAAAGGCCCAAAAAATTTTCCCCCCGCCCGGGGGGGAAAAAAATTTAAGGGGGGCCCAAATTTGGGGGGGGCCCCCCCCTTTTCCCCCAAAATTTAGGGGGGGAAACCCCCTTTTGGGGCCGGGGGCCCCAAGGGGAAAAAAAAAAGGGGGGGGGGGGGCCCCCCCTTGGGCCTTTAAGGTGGCCCCCCCCCCCCCCCGGGGGGGGGAAAGTTTTTTTCCCCGGCCCCCGGGGGGCCCCCGGGGAAAAAATTTTTTGGGGGCCCCCCGGGTATTGGGCCCGGGTTTTGGGGGGGGTTTTTTGGGGGGGGGGGGAAAAACCCCAAATTGGCCATTCCCCGGAACCGGGGCCGGGGGGGGGGGTTTACCCCCCCCCTTTTTTTTTCCCCGGGCATTTTTGGCCCCCTTTTTTTTTTTTTCCCCCCTTTTTTTAACCCCCAAAAAAAACCCCCCCCACCCCCCAAAAAAAAACCCCCAAAAACCCCAAAATTTCCCACCAAAAAAACCCCCCCAAAAAAAACCCCCCCACCACCCCCCAAAAAAAGGGGAAAGGGGGAAATTTTTAAAAAGGGGGGGGGCCCAAAAAAAGGGGGGCCGGAAAAGGGGGTTTTTTTTTTTTTTAAAAAAAACCCTTAAAAGGGGGGGGGGAAAAAAAACCCACCCCGGGGGGGGGGTTTTTTTTAAAAAGGGGAAAACCGGGTTTCCCCGGGGGAAAAAAAAAAAATTTTTTTTTTGGGGGGGGGGGAAAAACCGGGGGCCCGCCCTTTGGGGTTTCCCGGGCCCCTTTAACCCTTAAAATTTTTTTTTGGGGGCCCCCAAAAAACCCAAAAAATTTAAAAAGGGGAAAAAAAATTTGGGGAAAATTAGTTTTTTAAAGGGGCCCAAAAAAGGGGGCCCCCTTTTTTGGGGGGGAAAAAAAGGGGGGAAAAAAGGGAAAAAAATTGGGGAAAGCCAAAAAAAAAGGGGGGCCGGGGGAAAAAAAAACCCCCCCAAAAATTTGGGAAAAAAAAAATTTTTGGGGGGGAAAAATTTTTTCGGGGGGGGGGAAAAAAAAAAGGGTTGGGGGGCGGGCCCCCCCTTTTTGGGTTTAAAATTTGGGGGGGGAAGGGGGGTTTTAGTGGGGGAAAAAGGGGGCCGGGGGCCCCCGGGGAAAAAGGGGGAAAAAGGGGACCCACCCCCAAAAAACCCCCCCCCCCTTTTCCCACCCCCAAAAAAAAAAAAAAACCCCCCCCCCAAAAAAAAAAAACCCCCACCCCCCCCACCCCCCCCAAAAAACCCCACCACCCCCAAAAAAAGGGGGGGTTAACCGGGGGGGCCCCCCCCCCCGGGGGGGTTAATTTTTGGGGGGGGGTTTTGGGGGAAATTTGGGGGGGGAAAAAATTTTTTTTTTGCCCCCCCAAAGGGGGGGACCGAAAATTTTAAAATTTAAAAATTAAACCTTTTTGGCCGGTTTTTTGGGGGGGCCCCCCCCCAAAAAAAAAAAAAGGGGGGCCGGAAAAAAAAGGGAAAAAAGGGGGAAAAAGGGGGTTTAAAAACCAAACCCTTTCCCCGGGGCCTTTTTTTAAAAATTTGGGAAAACCCCCCCCCCTTTTTTTTGGGGGGGAAAAGGGGTGGTTTTTAAAATTTCCCCCCGGGGAAGGAAAAACCCCCCAAAAAAACCCCCCCCAAAAAGGGTTTAGGGGGTTTTTAAGGGTTTTTTTTAATTTTTTTGGAAACCCAAACAAAAAAATTTTTGGGAAACCCCCCTTTTTTCCTTCCCCCCCAAACTTTTTGGGTTTCCCCCCCCCCCCCCCCAAAAAACCCCCCCCAAAAAAAAAAATTAAACCAAAAACCACAAAAACCCCCCCCCCCCAAAAAAACCCCCCACCCCCCC